TTTAAAATTATTTAAAAAAATCTTTATTATTGAAACTATTACATATGTCCCCTTTTTGCCCCCATTGACCCCCTCCAGCCCACCTCAGGCCTCCACCACCCTACTGTATCCACGGGTTAGGCATATATGCATACAAGATCTTTGGTTGATTACTTCCTACCCACTCACCCTCCCTCCGAGATTCTGCACTCTTGAAACAGAAGATTTAAATAAGATTTGAGCCTTATAATGTAATAATGCCCCAAATGGTCAGGATACAATAGAAAAGTACTCACCGTATGACAACTAGGAAAATCTCAATTGAAATGCGGAAAGTCAATTAACGGATGCCAACATGAGGATAAGATGTGGAATTATCTGACAAGGATTTTCTGTAAGCCAGAGATTTTCAACCTTTTTCATCTTATGACACACCACACATAAAATAATTACAAAAATTCTGTGGTACACCAATAAGTGTATTTTTTGCAGATCTGACACACAAAAAAAGGTATAGTTTTGATTCATTCACATGGGATGGCAATTGTTGTGTTGGCTATTGGCATTTTAAAAATGTTTTTATTGATTTGAGAGAGGAAGGGAGAGGAATTGAGAGATAGAAACATCAATGAGAAAGAAACATTGATCGGCTGCCTCCAACATGTTCCCTACTGGGAATTAAGCCCACAACCCTGTCATGTGCCCTATCTGGGAATCAAATCTTCTGGTTCATGGATCAACACTGGCTGGGCATGTTGTCATTTTTTAAATTTGACAATCTAAGGGAAAAAAGGTCGGTGCCCCTGACTGAATAGTGAAGTACTGAATGTTTTAAAAATTCTTGCGGCACACTGGTTGAGAATCACCGATGTAAGCTTTGTAAGAAAAAAGACCATGTCTGGTATATTCACCATGATAGTCTCAGAGCCTAGAATGATGTTGGCTGAAGCAGGTACTTAATAGTTGCTGAGTGAATGAATGGAATGTCAGGTAGAGAGCATGTAATAATACATGTTATACACATAGTATGTACATATCAGTAAATGATTATAATTTGTATGTGACTGGATGCACAGAAAAATTTTGAAATACACACCAAAATGCTCATAGCACTATAGGATGCACTCAGTATTTGTGAAATGAATGAATGAAATCAGTGAGAAACTGTCACTAAACAAATTTTCTGAAATAGTTATAGACTGTATCAAGTTTAGACATTTGTTTGAAATACACAATGTAAAAGGGAAGTATAACAAGATACCATATCTATCATTGATGAGAACGAACCAGTAGAAGGAAAAGAGGTTAAAAATACAAAAAGAGAGAGGGATGCTGGATTTATAGAAAGCTTCCTGAAAAGGAGCCAGAGCACGAAAATGCGGGTTAACTTCAGGTAGAAGGAAACTGCCACACTGCAACAGAAGCAAAAGAAGGGAGGACAAGTGCAGATACAACTGTCGATTTAGAGGTCTGAAGTTGAGGTAATTCCTCTTTGAGACCTATTTTCTTAGCAAAAACATAAGATAATATTATCTGCCAAGAGCAAGGTTGTAAATTGGAAGATCTGAAATTTGAAGAGTTGAGGTTTTTAAAGTAGTCATTTTGGAAAGGAAGTTGAATAGAAAAGGTAGTACACTTGCCAGGTGGAATAAAGGGCCTGTACAGTCTGTCCTGTGAGACAGATTCTGTCCATTTTCAGCTCACTGATTGCAATCAGGGAAAAGGCAAGGTAATAGATATTAAGAACAGAGGAACAAAGTGCTCCAGTGAAGTTAAAAAAAAAAAAAAAGGATTGTTTTTCAACTGAAGGAGAGGAAGACAATGGCCTGAGAAGAGGAAAGGAAGAAAACAGGTCAGGGAAGATGGAGATAAAAGCAGGGTGGTGGTGGATTTCTGGCTGGGGTACAGGAATGTCCTTTTGTCTTACAGTCCAAACATGGTCACAGTGAGAGTAGTTTATCACCTGCTTTTTTAAAAAAGCATTTTTGTTGATTTCAGAGAGGAAGGGAGAGGGAGAGATAGAAACATCAATGATGAGAGAGAATCATTGATGGGCTGCCTCCTGTATGCTACCTATTAGGGACTGATCCCACAACTTCGGCATGTGCCCTTGACCAGAACCAAACCCAGGACCCTTCAGTCCGCAGGCCAACGCTCTAACCGCTGAGACAAACCAGCTAGGGCTATCATCTGATTTTGTGACATGAGTTCCATATTTCTTTTAGTCTCTTAGACCTGACAATCTATCAAAACCCTATTAAGGTATTCCCAGGCATCTTTAGTTGCTTCAGAGAAGTATGAAGGCACAAGGATATCATCCTCCATGCATTAGAAGAAAGGCTTTAATGAGCAACAGGAGGCAGAAGCTCAATTTTTCTCCTTTTATTGGTTGGTGTGAGTTACTGTAAGCCCTTTCTTAGTCATCTTTATGTTCTTCCCTAGTTACCAAGAGTCCAGTTCCTATATTCAAGAGATATCTTGCAATCTCCTCCAAGTGTTTTGTTAACATTACTTTTGAATTCATGAATGTTCAGCTAAATAGATGTGGACTTGAGAGGAACTGAGATCTGGGCAAAAGATAACTTAAAAATCATCTGTTAAACGGACCATTTGTCCAAAATACTCAGCTACCATTATTCTCCGAGAAATACTACTTACTGTTCAACACTTGATAATTATTAAATTATCTACACTCTAGTAATACCAAACTTATCAGATCTTTTGTACAATGGCTATTCCATCCTTGAAAAGAATCTCTTTATGAATCGTGTTGCTTAGAATTAGTGAAACTTCAAAGTTTTAGTTGAACTTGATGATTAACAAAAACAAACCTCTTTAATCACAACAGCAAAAAATATGAAGTGGCTAAGCAGCTGGTTAGCATGTGAACAAGGCAAGGAACAGATTGGGTTGAAAGAAAATTATAAATCATTCTAGGGTCCAGTCCCTTGTCTTTTGTTCATTTCTTTGGCTGAATTGCTAATGCATGATTTTTGTACAAATTCTTTTAATTTGGGGCTTTCCTTTCCTCTTTTTTTTTTTTTTTTTTGGAAAGACGGCATATATTTTCTGAAAATATGCTGTTTTTTTTAAAGGACCAGATATTCATGCATTATTAATGCAATAAAAATTACCAAAAGAGAGCGGGAAAGAGAATATAAAACAGTGTATATCTTAACCATTGTTAAGAAACAAAACTTGTCTCTTTGCTTCCCTTCCATAAGATCGCTGTCAAGTAGAAGGCAAAATATAGGTAATTCTAGGACTGGTGCATATTTGGAGGCCAAGATTACTTTCGCGTTTTCCCTTCCTTTTCAAAACTAGGTTTTGTTTGGTACTA